ACAAGTATCAAAGGAAAGGAGTGAGAGCGGGAGAGATTGATACGACCGGCCTTAAAATGGGATGTACATATGTATATACAAAGGCCTTCAGACAGGCAACCGAACAAGTTTTCTTAACGGTCTTCGTAACACCCCTCCCGCTGTGGAGACCTCGGCCACTCTAACAACGTTATCTCCACCCGGAAACAGTTTCTTTACTCGACCTCTAGGCCAAGTTCCCCGCGGCAAATTCCCGTCAACAATAAGGACGAGGTCACCCACACTGAGAGGGGTTCCTTCAACCTCGCTGCCGCTGCGCCGAGGAACGAGGGTTGGAAGGTATTCTTTCAGCCACCTCTGCCAAAAGAGATCCGCCAGTCTCACAGTCTTCCTCCAAGCGGTTCTACCATACAAGTCTTGAGGGACGGCGCCAACATGATGGTTTCCCGTTGAGGAAGTCCCGATCAGAAAATGAAATGGTGTGAGAGCTTCGTTACCTTCTTGTCCAACCGAAACGTGCGTTAGTGGCCNCTCAGAAACACAGCACTGAATGCGTTCGTCTGTTTTCGATCCATTTCTTTGGTATTCACTGAATTCGTACACTGATTACGATAGTGTCCCATTTGTTTACATCGGAAACATTTTATGTTCGACTTTGACAACTGGTCGCCATCTTTACCGCGATTTTTGTCTTTGGTTTTGTCTCCCTTGTCATTTGATTTGACATTTCTCTTATGTTGGTACCATTGACTTTTGTTACTATGGAACGAACCAAATGCAGCACTTTCAACACGAACTTCAGACTCCATGTCTAATAATTTAGATTTGATTGAATCCGTCGTGATACTGATGCCAGAGTGTTCAATCGCCATAATCATTGGCGAAAATTTATCGGGTAATCCAGCCAGTAACAAAGAGCCAATCCACTCGTCGTTAATGTTGAAGCCAGTCCCAGCCAATTTCTGACCCGTCTCCACTAATTGAGTTACATATGAATTCATGGAATCACAGTCATCCAGTCTTATTGAAATTAGATTTCTCAATAGGCTTATCCTTCTCGTGAATCCAGAATCATCATACAGCGACTTCAATTTTTCCCATAGTTCCTTCGTAGATTTTACTTCTCTGATATGAACATAAATGGAGGGATCTATCGTTAAGATCAATTTGGCTCTGGTTTTAGCGTCATCCGTGGGTGCAACTGGCGCTTGACCTGCTTCTGGCTTGATGCATCCTAGCGTTCCTTCCAAAATCAAGAAGTTTTCCGCCGCGAAACACCATTCACAATAATTTTCTCGTCCTCTGAGTTTAGGTACATTCACCAAATAGTTCGATGATGCCATTTTGAATTTTCAGTTCAAATCTCAAGTACCTACTAACCGACACTGCACAAATCCACAAAAACAATTCTTTCCACTTACTGCAACTGTTATCAATGTCCACAATAACAACTGTCGCGAGAACTAATTGAATAGTAGCCAGAAACGCTCTGGGCCCATAACCTATTATAATTTGGGATTTTAAAGAAAACAACATGTGATCGGTTCCGCTGACAAGACCAGAAGGAAGTCTATTCTTCAAAATTGGATACATTGACAAACTTACACTTCCGGTACAGATAATGAAAAATATAGCTTCCATAGACATTATAAGTGGTATGATGGCACTAGTATTTTGAGCACATAATAACACTAATAAAATTAAATGCGGTTCCTTACCGTTCATAAAATAAACAGAAAACTTAAATTTTATTAGTTAAATAAACTGACTCACTCAATCAGCATTACACAAATCAAAGAACAAAAAATAATTTTTGATCATCAAATGATCATTGAAATTCGGCTCCTTGCCGTTTAAACATGTGTAATAAACTTAAAACTTACTAAATCTATCTTTATCAAATAAAATAACAAAAAAAATACTCCTCTAATAAATCAACATACAACTTTGGTTATAAAAGTCAGTCTTACTCAATGTTCGGGGCAAATATTAACGCGTTAGAACTAGGGCATGTAATATCGGAAGGTTTTCAATACCGATATTGGATTCCGATATTAGATCTCAATATCGGAATTCCGATATTAATATCGGAATTGAGTTCATGTGCTATAAAATTAATATTTGGTTATATTCGTAAGTATTCTGGATTGTTTACAGTAAAATAATGATTTTAATCAAAATCTTTAATTTGGTACAAAGCAGCACTTCATAAAATTGAAGTATTTTAAAACCATTTTTACGTTATGGGTATCCATTGCATTTGGTTCTTTATGTGACAAGAGGCAAACCAGCAGACGGATCACCTGATAATGAATGGTTACTGATAATGAACCTATAATGGACTAGCACATAATTAAAGTGTTTTTTGTAAAATCATAAAAAACTCATAAAAAAAACTCATAAAACTCATTTATTTCTGTAAATAGGCTTAAAAAAAGCACTTTTACACGTCCCAGTATTAACCCTACCACTGCTTCAGGACAATAAATGGGCCAGTGCTGAGAAGAAGCAGCGCAAGAAACTCAGTCACTATTGTCAGCCTCTTTTTCAAAGGTTTACATGCTTTAAAATGTACAAAGTTATAAATATTTATGCGAGCTAGGCAGTCGTATCCCAAACATTTTTATCTTTTAAATAATCATCGACTTTATAGTAGCCCTTTTTCATTAAGGTACTTTTAATATGTGCTTTGAATTTATGAATGAAATATGATTTACCTCTTTCTCGAAATTGTATCTAACTACCTAGCTGATCGTTTGTCCGAGATAGACATACTTACTTGTCAACAATCTCGAGAATCGAGCTCCTAACCGAAACTGGGTAAGGAGCAACACAGACATTCGACATATGCTTCGTTTTTTCTATATTCATCCGAAGGCCTACCAGTTGGGAAACTCGATAAAGGTCTTCGAGAATTCTGATAAGGTCTTCCAACGGTTCTGCCCTAGTACGCAAAACAGACGGACGATGAGGCAGCAAGGTTCTGAAGTGTAGGCCACGTACCGGAAAGCGCAGCGTAGGATTCATAACCACAAGGTGGACCGACGACCTCATAAAGGTAGCAGGAAGGCGCTGGATGCAGGCCGCCACCAACCGGCCATTGTGAAAATCAGCATCGGAGCCTGTGTTCAGCAGTGAACGTCCTATGGCTGACATGATGATGATGATGGCTCGTGGTTTTGTGAGTTGTACATCGATAATCAAAAAGGAACAAATTACAAGCATATTCAAGTTTTTACCACTCTCTTCAATTTTTGTAACACGTGATTTGAATGACTCTAAAATTCGTTCCGCCAACATAAAACAGGGTAGGTAATATTCCAGAAACGAATCGGTCCTATTCATTATTATTGGTTTAGGTTAGGTTAGAACTGTGGCCTTACGTTTCATTCGCGAAGAACGTACTTCTGTACGTAGTATTTATTAATATTCTATGGTATGAGTGAAAATATTATGGTAATGTTTAGGGATAATAAAAGTGTTATGATAAAAAACAGTAGGAGTTTAAATATATTTACATAAATGATATTATTAATTACAATTTTCGGAAACATGAGTGTTATGAACATCGCCGGTAGCACTACAAAAATTATGAATGAAAACTTTAGGATGAAAAATTTTAGGAAGAGTGATCATTCGGATTTAATATCGTTAGGAAGAACAATTTCGGGTAAATAACTTTAGGTGAGCCAATATGGACCCCCTAGATACAGTCAGCGACAAATAGTTACTGACACTCCAACAGCCAAAAAGTTACTGCAAAGTTACAAACCACTGATTTAAAACTAGCTTTCGCGGCTTCGCCCGCGTTGAGTTTGTTTGTTCCCTGTTTCAAAAATCGGGATAAAAACTATCCTATGTATTTTCCCGGGACTTAAACTGTCTCTATGCCTTTCATCAAAATCGGTTCAGGGGTTTAGGCGTGAAAGCGACACAGACAGACAGAGTTATTTTCGCATTTATAATATTAGTATAGATAATTCAACACTGTTTTAGGAGAGTCTAATTACATCGCATGCTTCTGATTCCGTTCCTAAGGTTAGGAATTTGATCGACTGGAATTAAATTCTGTTTTGTCTGCGAATTTGGTTGAACTGTTTCTCAGCTTTGTTCTGTAGCCCTTAATAGGGTTACACAGCTTTTCTGAATCAAGTTTCTCAGGAATCCACCGCAAATGCTAATTCCTCAAACATTCGAGCGCGTAAGAACAGGCTCCTTGCAAAAAGGGCCGATTTCAATCATTCCTACTGATCGTTGTGCGCAAGCGATGATTTTTTGTCGCGATGCCGCACCAATCGGTCCCGTTCTAACGCGTCGGGTTAGAAAGAGAGCACGCCCGACTGCAAGTCCGAAGGACATTGACTGCGTTTTGCCATTTTTTCACCAGCTTTTGAACCAGCCGTGTGTTCTTTCTCCGTTGCGTTAAGGGTGAATATCCTATAGTAAGTGCATGGGGATATGCAAAGTTGGTCTTTTGTATAATTCCTGACACCTGGGTGGATGTATGGGTGTGGGCGTATTATTATTTAATTTCATGGGATTCGCTTAGCAGTAGCTTAGTATAGGAGAGCTAGAGCTCCCTTCACAGTCAAATGAAACAGAGAGAAGCATAGAGCTATTTCTTCCTAACTTTATGTTTCGTTTGCAGTGGAGAGTATTTGTATTTGAAATAGGAAAAGTTATTAAATGACACAATTTATTATACAATGTGGCTATTCTTGATATTCCCTTCCATTTCATTTTATCTTGTTTCCCCTCCCATTGATCCCCTCACCCATCTGTCATTGATCCCTTCATCCATCTGTCATTGATCCCCTCATCCAACATTGATCCCCTCAACCAAGTAACTTTGATCCCCTCCCATTGATCCCCTCATCCAAGTAACATTGATCCCTCATCCAAGTAACATTGATCCCTTTCCCATTGATCCCCCTGTCATTGATCCCCTCCCATTGATCCCCTTCATTGACCCCCCTGTCATTGATCCCCTCCCATTGATCCCTCTGCCATTGATCCCCTCCCATTGATCCCCTCCCATTGATCCCCTGTCATTGATCCCCTCACCTGCAGCAAGGCGTGTCGCCGTGATCCCCTCGTGCCCTCATTGATCCCCTCGTCCTCCCATCGATCATCTCGGGCTCCTCCGACTCCACAGTCCGCGTGTGGGACGTAACAACAGGCGCCATGCTGAACACGCTCATACACCACTGCGAGGCGGTTCTTCATCTACGCTTCTGCAGCGGGATGATGGTCACTTGCAGCAAGGTGTGTCGCCGTGATCCCCTCGTGCCCGCCATTGATCCCCTCGGCCAAGTAACATTGATCCCCTCATCCAAGTAACATTGATCCCCTTCCTCATCCCTTTGACATTGATCCCCTTCCTCATCCCCCAGTCATTGATCCCCTCCCATTGATACCCGTCATTGGTCCCCTGTCATTGATCCCCTCCCATTGATCCCCCTGTCATTGATCCCCTCATCCCGTATTACTGATCCCCTCACCTGCAGCAAGGTGTATCGCTATGATCCCCTCGTGTCCCCGCTATTGATCCCCTCGTCCAAGTAACATTGATCCCCTCATCCAAGTAACATTGATCCCCGGTCATTAATCCCCTCCCATTGATCCCCTCATCCCGTATCATTGATCCCCTCACCTGCAGCAAGGTGTGTCGCCGTGATCCCCTCGTGCCCGCCATTGATCCCCTTCCTCATCCCCCTGTCATTGATCCCCTCCCATTGATCCCCTCATCCAAGTAACATTGATCCCCTCACCTGCAGCAAGGTGTGTTGCTTTGGGACCCTTGGAAAAATACTGCAGCTCTATGTATAGAGCCTTTGAGAAGTGGCTGGTTTTTTCTGACCCTTATCTCCCGCTTTTGAGAAATTGCAGGTGTTTTTGACCATTTCCCCTCCCGTTGATCCCCTTGTCATCTTCTCCTTGATCCCCTGATATTTTCTGACAGGCTCCCCTGAAACCCCTATTTTTCTTCCTCTTTAACCCCTCGCCCGCATCCGCTTAAACCCCTCATCCCCTCCCATTGATCCCCTCGTCCTCCTTTCATCAACCCATGCCATTGATCCCCTTGTCCCCCTTGATCCCTTCGTCCCGCTCCCCTCGATCTGCTTTTTTTTTATCCACAACGAGGAAGCTCTTGGCCTGTATCCCACCTGATGGTAAGTGATGATCATTTCGAAGGTGGAAGCGAGCTTCACCCGGAATCCTCAACCACGGAGGATCTACATTTCTGTAGCGGTATGATAGTCACTAGCAGCAAGGTATGTTACTTTAGCGCCCTTGGACAAGGGCAGATGTTTTTCGAGCCCCTTTCCCAGTTCCCTTGATACCCGCGCCCTCTCACGTTATCACCTCATCCCTTACCCTTGATACCCTCAACCCCTCCTTTGGTCCTCGTCTCCCTACCCTAGAAATTCATAAAATTCATTTATTTTTGCAAATAGGCTTTAAAAAAGCGCTTTTACACGTCCCAATATTAACCCTACCACTGCTTCGGGACAATAAATGGGCCAGTGCTGAGAAGAAGCAGCGCAAGAAACTCAGTCACTGTTGTCAGTAGATACCTTCGCCCCTTGTAATCCCTGCGTCCTCCAAACTATGCGTTCTTTTTGATAATTTTTATTTTACTTTTTGTGCAGGACCGATCGATAGCAGTGTGGGACATGAGCTCGACGACGGAGATCAACTTGCGCCGCGTGCTGGTCGGCCACCGCGCCGCCGTCAACGTGGTCGACTTCGACGAGAAGTACATCGTCAGCGCCAGCGGGGACCGCACCATCAAGGTACCCACTGATCCCCTCTCCCCCTGATACCACCCATTCCCCGATANTTTAATTTCATGGGATTCGCTTAGCAGTAGCTTAGTATAGGAGAGCTAGAGCTCCCTTCACAGTCAAATGAAACAGAGAGAAGCATAGAGCTATTTCTTCCTAACTTTATGTTTCGTTTGCAGTGGAGAGTATTTGTATTTGAAATAGGAAAAGTTATTAAATGACACAATTTATTATACAATGTGGCTATTCTTGATATTCCCTTCCATTTCATTTTATCTTGTTTAATGGGGATGTTGCCTGGGTCAAAAAGCAAGAGTTTTAATTAGTCCGTCAGTTAACTTATCAAAAAATACTCTACACGTATTTTTCACTTTTTCAAACTAATGAAAATTTAAAGAGATAAAGCGCCCCAAAGTTCATAAGAAGAGGCCCGTGACGTCAACGCTTGCTTAAAAATGCCGCACGTTGTGACGTCGTGCGCAACTTCAACGCACCATAACTATGTAATTATTTGTTAGATTGACAAATAAAAATATACGTGTCCAATATTTTTTGATATTAAACATTACGGACTAAAAAAATTTTTTTAGGCAACTAGCCTATTCTTTCTTTTTTAGTCATAATGAACTGATAATCCTATACAATTTTCAGTTTACTTAACTATGATGATACCCATTCAATTTACACACCTATGTAATTAATGTTTTAAATATTTTTTGTATGGTTCCATATTTTTAACGACTCTATCAAACGCTTTGGACGTGTTTGTGTTAAATTTTAAATTAAAACACTTAAAAATATTTTATCGGGCGTCGACTCTACTCAACTCAAAAGAGTGTGTTCAAAAAAATAGTTCGCGCCATTCAATGTTACATTAGAAACCGTATTATTAGAATAATGTACCACCGTCCCATCTGTTGTTTCCCATGACCAACCCCATGGGGTGATAGGGGAACAATCTGTCTTTAATGCTCTCGTAATAGAGTAGCTTTTAGCTTGGCAATTATGCAGTAATCAATCAACGGACTTGTGCATGATGGATGCAGGATTTTAAACGAATTTAATACACTAGCTTAAATCGTGGATTTGTTCGTCAAATTGAAGCTTAAACAGCGGTTTCTATTGGTTTGAAAAGTTATTTTCTGCTATTCGTTCAGCTATTGGTTCCTTGAAACCTAAATAATGTAGGTATATACCTTTAAATAATGGCGCTTCTTGGTTTTATTGAGATTATGGTTTCCATTGCAATAAGATCGAAGTAGGTACTTATTATGAAACAAAATAATAGTTTTGATGCATTCGGATTATTGATGGAATGGCTTTAAGCATAGAAATTATGTAATTTATTAAAATGTAGAGCATAATTTTTAACCAATGTACCGTAGTAATTAAATCAAAGTTATACAAGAATTTTGAGTTGTTAAACTTAATGTAAGATTTTGCTAACAAAATTCGAAAGCGTCCGCTGTTCAGCCGAGCAATTTCAAAAGCGATGTAAGTGAAAAGCCATCGTCCAAGCAGCGTCGAAAATCGGAACTAAACCGGCCATACAACCCGCATAGATAGTGGCGCCACCGCAACCTGTAAGACGTAGAAAGAGCTATACGAAATCACCCAGGGCGTTTCCAGTACTAATCCGCACACAAGTAAATATACCACCGGCGACTAGCCAAGAAGTGACACCTGTCTCCCTCACACGCACCCCGATGACCCGCGCCAGAAAGGGACAGAGGCCAAGGGCCGGAATCAATACCATATGACAGACTGTTTTATTTCGTTGGGGACATCTTTTAGTTTGTGCTCGTGGAAACAAACATCTATAACGAGGTCTCTTTGTTCCCCATCTCAAATGGCAGGCTTTTAAGCGCTTATGTGGCTCTTATAGAGCGTTATAATGGTTGTATAACGGTGTTATAAGTTGGATTAGTTTTAAGGCACTTCTGAAAAGTAACAGCCAATTGACAAAGCAACGGGACTTTATAGCATTACAATTCAAATTCTCATACTTTGCACAAGTTGTGTGGGTTTTGTCACTTTAGAATTTAGGTATTGTTTTCAAAAGACACGTCTCTGATATTAGAAAATAAAATGAGAACACTTGTACAAACAAATAAATTCCTAAACGAAAGACTATTTTAGGATAATACTGCTAAAAGACAATGGATTCTTACATAACTTTGAATCTTATCACATGGCTTGAACTTATAGATAAAGAATCTCAATTGCCTTTTTAATAGTCAATACAATAAACAAAACAATATAATGAAAAATGTACCGACAGCAAAAAACTGAAAAAAAAAACTGAGGATTTAAGTGATACTTTTTCAAACCATATGGCATGGGAAATAGAAAGAACACGGTGTTGCTGACTGTACAAAGTGTACTAACAAAGCCAAGGTCTAAAAAAGTTGTGAAAAAAGTATAATTTATTTTCATCTTACGAGTTTACTTTTTATCCACTGGCCTAATGTTTTTTTCTGTTTACTACAACAAGACAAGTCACTTAAATGAAAACGCGGGAAATTCATTGAAAAACTGACTTAGGTATGTACGACAAGTTTAATCAAAATCCTTTCTATAGTTTTTAAACTTACATTCATACAGTATGTCTAATACAATGGTCAGATGATTTTGATGCCTTTTAGAATCACAAACTCACATTTATAATACTAGCTTTCCGCCCGCGGCTTCACCCTCGTGGAATTTTGTCTGTCACAGAAAAACATTATCGCGCGCGTCCCTGTTTCAAAAACCGGGATAAAAACTATCCTATGTCCTTTCCCGGGACTCAAACTATCTCTATGTAAAAATTTCATCATAAATCAGTTCAGTGGTTTAGGCGTGAAAGCAAGACAGACAGACAGACAGAGTTACTTTCGCATTTATAATATTAATAAGTATACAGGGTGGAAACGATAAGTGATCTCACTCGATTATTTCTAAACTATACAATATATCCAAAAACTGATTACTGATCTTAAAAGTGCTTCACGAGCTCTATCCAACGGTACCAATAATAGGTTACAAAATAAACTGGATCTATCTGAAAATTCAATGTTTTCAGCCTCCATACATTTAGTAAAACCACATAATATTAAAAACTATACAAGATATCCAAAAAATGGTAACTGATCCTGAAAGTGCTTCACGAGCTCTATCCAGAGGTACCAATAACAATTTATAAAATAAACTGGATCTATCCGAAAATTCAATGTTTTCAGCTTCCATACATTTAGTACAGCCACAGTCATGACACTCATGTCTTGATAATATTATAGCAAGTAAAGCCTAAAATAAATATTATTAATGAATAATTTTAAATTAGAATGAAATTTACGAGTTAATTTTAAGTGTTTATTATTTAAAATAAAAAAATTAACACTTCTAATATTGTGTGGCTGGCATAGTAGCATACATTTAGTATGGAGGCTGAAAACATTGAATTTTCGGATAGATCCTGTTAATTCTGTAATCTATTACTGATATCATTTGAAAGAACTCGTGAAGCACTTTCAGGATCAGTAATCAGTTTTTCGATATCTTATACAGTTTAGAAATAATCGAGTGAGATCACTTAACGTTTCCACCCTGTAGATAGTATAGATTAGAAGCAGTAGAATACGATAGTATACTCGTATTTTATTCACCACTAGTAAATCAGTATTTGGGATAATTTGCCAACTACCGTCACCCCATCCACGGGGGTGACGTGTCACCCCCGCGTTTACAGATCAATATAAATACAAGCGTGGGCTAGTCTATCATTTTATTATTACCTTGGTAGTTGTGGAACTGGATAAATGTAGAATAGTTGCGGGAAAAGCGATTAACTAAAACATAACCCCGGTTTCTTAATTAAGTTTTTTAAGCTGAGTGTGCTCATTGTCTAAAGTATGATCTTAAAACCAATTTTCGTCCTGAATTATTAGACTACTCTATTGTTACTACGTTATTGTTTATGGAATCTAAATGTATAACTCTAAGGTGACTGACTGACTGACATACTGATCTATTAAAACCCAAACCACTGGACGGATGGCTATGACTATGACTCAAACGAAAAATTCATAGCACGTTGAAGTTAAAAATCTCAATTCAGAAACCTGGGGTTATGTGGAGTGAGAGTTGAGAGGACCCATGGATTTGATCTAACATAAGTTTTTCTAAGATTATGAAAAAATGTTTTGTAAGTTTAAAAAGTTTTTCAAATTGTGTCAGTATCAATAGAGAGATAGAGATATAAGACAATAACAATAAAGTCCATATTGTTATTTTTCTTTCAAAATACAACCACAGAAGAAGCCAAATACTTAATACTTATCTTGATGTGCCTTCGTCAGTGTAAGTACTTTTCCATCATTGAAAATGAAGCGTCAAATCAATTAAAAATATTAAACTTTTATACTTGAGTAAAACTACCCTCTTACTATTCTAACTACTGCAACCTCAACTACATTAGCGCTAATAAAAACAACGTAAGCGCTAAAATCGCATAACTCCAACCCATAACCGACAGAGCGAGAGTCACTACAAACACCATAAGTGTGAAAGGGACAACAGAAAGGGGTGAGGAATGAGAGTGCCCTGCAGGGTCGTTCTATTGTCGGGAACAATGTCGGTGATTTGGTCAACTGTTATTGAATACGTTTCATTTGGACGTTATTAATTTTGTACAAAACCGTCAATGGGAGTTGTAAAATCGGATTTTGGATTTTTTATGAGAATTCAGCTCTAACCCGCGAAATCGCCAGCACGAATTTCGGTGTGTCTAACGCCCGTATTCATAAACGATGCTTGCTTAAGTGAAACAGCAAATCGAACGCACAGCGTTGAATACAGCTCTGTGATTGGTTTGTTTGTGAAATTGTCACCCTATGCGTCCACACCCACTGTGAGACCTCATAGTAATGTATGTGAATACGACCGTAAGGGCTCTTTCCCACGGCATCCAGTAAGGCAGAATCCCGCAAAACTGGACTCTCGTGTGAACACACGTGTTTTTGAAATTCTAATACTAAAAAAAAATTCGAATCGTTCGGTTTTTTTCGGGACACTGAAAATCTTCTATTGATAATCTTCTTGATTGTCGTAAGTAGCTTCTGGTTTTTTGTCTTATCTTCTAGAAATTCACAGAACTGGCAAAAAAGTAGATTGCAAAGTAACATGCAATCGATTGATCATTGAATTTTACATTTCAAATTATGGTAATATTCATGCACAGGAAATCGAATCCGTACCGTTTTCCTTTATCGTGCGAACATTATAATGCAATCATGGCCGAGTCTCTTGATTTGTACTTCAGTACACAACTAAGGATTTTCCTCATTTTAATATCAATATGCGAAAGTTACTGTCTGTCCTTTCAACTCCTACAAAATCGTTGATCCAATTAAAATTGTGATTATTTAAGTCTCTGGAAAGAGCATGGAATAGTTTTTATCCCAAATATCCCTACCAAATGAATGGTGGTGGGGGGAGGTTATATGGAGAATCAAACATATTTTCTCATGTACCTGCTTAAGCTTTTGATAAAAAATTAAGTGTTTTAATTAAACACGCATGCGAGTCAATTTTTGATAGAATTGAAGTTGCGGGCAAAAGTAAAGATTATTCAATGAAAATTCATGTTTTTTGGCAAATTACGGCCAAAGTGTATTGTCGATAGTACTGAATAAAAATTTTTCTTTCTTTCTTTCTTTCTTTTTTCAGACCCAATCGTACTATAGGTAGAAACACATACAACACAGACACACACTTTTTTTTGGTTGAGTTGAGCAGCTATTCTGGTTCTACAGGGTGTTCGGTAAATGGGTGCCAACACTAGCCCATGTTAACATGGTCATATAAATGGTATGGTGAAGTCAGAAATTTGATATCATCATTTTTTTATTTTTATTTTCATACAAAATTAATTTTATAAAATCCAATTTGTATGAAAAATAAAATAATTAAAATGAAGATATCCATTTTCTGACTTCACCATACCATTTATATGACCACGTTAACATGGGCTAGTGTCGGCTCATATACCCATTTACCTAACACCCTGTATAAAGTCCCAGTACCTATCACTGCGACCGGCATCGATCTATTGTGATCGCCACTGTTTTTTTCCTTACAGTTCGCCTCCTAGGTCTGCATTCATTAGCTAGTGCAGTATCTTTTGGGGAGCATCACATACACATAATCAAAGATGAAAACTAATTAAACCCTCTTTTGTTCCAGGTACAAAATTGGAGGCGCCATGCGCTAGTGCAGTGAAGTGTGAGTGCAGTGACCAGTGAAGTGACATGAAGTGACACGATGCGTGACAGTGACCGAGTGGCGGCCCGGCTCATGAGCTCCTGAATGATAGCTACGGATAACGGTAAGGATCTAGTTATTGATTTATTTATCTAGTTATACATAGGTACATAATCGTCCGTCAATATAAATAAAGCTAACTTTTTTTTTGTGGGAACCATATTCCCATTGTCGTATAAAGGATTAAATTGCATGGTAACAGAAAATATACAGTGTGTCCGGGCTTGTAGTGATCAAACTTTAAGGGCGTAATCTATGGACAATTTTATCGATGAAAATACTTCAAATTTGGGGCTTGACCCATTTCTCGCAAAATTACGAGGATTTAAGTTTTTAATTTTTAGTTTTCACCTCTTCCTTCAAAAACAAGTGAAAGCGTGGGTAGCTTAACACTAATAAGCAAAAATTTTATATCATGCGATAGCCAATAAAATTGTCTATTAGCAGAAGTAGAAAACAGATACAAGTTTCATACATTTTAAGGGAGTAAGAATGGATTTAATTAGAAAAAAACATGATTTTTTTCACTTCTTTTTCAGTTATTTTCCAACACAAGAAAAACCAGGTCGTTAAGGTATGTTTTATTTGCATTGTATTATTAGTATTTGAGCTATTCTACAAAACGAAACGTAGACTAATAAATTTACGTTCGTTTTGTAGAATAGCTCAAATACTAATAATACAATGCAAATAAAACATACCTTAACGACCTGGTTTTTCTTGTGTTGGAAAATAACTGAAAAAGAAGTGAAAAAAGTCATGTTTTTTTCTAATTAAATCCATTCTTACTCCCTTAAAATGTATGAAACTTGTATCTGTTTTCTACTTTTTCTAATAGATAATTTTATTGACTATCGCATGATATAAAACATTTGCTTATTAATGTTAAGCTACCCACGCTTTCACTTGTTTTTGAAGGAAGAGGTGAAAACAAAAAAATAAAAACTTAAATCCTTGTAATTTTGCGATAAATGGGTCAAGCCCCAAATTTGAAGTATTTTTATCGATAAAATTGTCCCTAGATTTGGCCCATAAAGTTTGATCACTACATGCCCGGACACACTGTATAAGGGCAAAATGAGTCCAATTTTTTATTGTTTTTGAACCTTAAGACGAGGGAATAAAGTTCAAAATATAGTGGGAACTATATTCCCACTGCCGTATAAAGGATTAAATTGCATGGTAATGTAACTACTTAATGTAAAAGATACTGAGATAGATCGATCTCTATTTGAGACGATATTTATCAATTATCACAAAATCCCCCGGTTTCATACTTTATATCACACGTTTAAAGCAGTTATGTAGTTTTTAAATGAGATAATAACATCCATAGTAGAATATCCAATAGACTCCGGGTGTCTCTGGTGAGATGTGAGGAGTAATGAGAGGACATAGATCATAGAGGATATTACCGAGAAACCGATTTTGTTTTCGTCCCTAACATCTAACATAGAAATATATCACGTAGTCTTGGCGCTATTCTTCACTCTATTGGCGATGCTTTTCTCCTCATATTACATAGAATAAACTAGCTGTGCCCGCGATTTCGTAGTATGAAAATAGTTTGAAATATTAGCCCCTATTGGCTGTAGGATGATGGTTAGGTATAGCCTAAAGCCTTCCTCGATAAATGGGCTATCCAACACAAAAATAATTTATCAAGTCTGTCTAGTAGGGTAGTAGGTCTAGACAACTTTTTGATCGAATCGAATCCGTTGTAACTATACAACAAAGGCTTTTCGACCATCTTTCGACATTACAACTGTAATTTTTTGCCATTTGTCTAACTAAAGTAAAGGGACTGTAGTTCCTGAGATTAGCCCTTTCAAACAAACTCTTCACCTTTATGTTATTAGTAGATGTCCTTCTTCCGTATCAAAGCGTAAGTATATCGAGTTATAAACGTCGGCGCACACTTGTCGTTCGTTACGTAACGTCCGCCGGCCCACTTGGATCGTTAACGTTTGATCTTTGACATAACGGACGGTAGGTAACAGTAGCCGTGTCGTTACTTTAAACGGAGGTGACAGAATAACAGATGATGATGTATAGCATGTGCAGTCTAAAGCACATACTTATAGACATACTTTTATTGCAAAACCGATCCTATACTCAAAGGTGACTGACTGACATAGTGATCTATCAACGCACAGCCCAAACCACTGGACGGATTGGACTGTGGTATGCAGGTAGATGTTATGACGTAGACATCCGCTAAGAAAGGATTTTACGAAACTCCACCCCTAAAGGGGTAAAACGGGATCCACGCTTACGAACTCGCGGGCGGCTAGTTAAAACTATAAATAAAAGATGTCACAGTGTTTAGATAACTGTTCATAATATTATCCATACTTATTTCTACCCTTAATTACCTACCTACCTACCTATAATTAATTTTAGATCCAGGGTAAACAGGATAGTTCTTATCCTAACTTTATTATTTTTAACCCCTCCACGCCTCTGTAAAAAAAAGTTGTTCCCCATTCATTTACATATTCATTCATCATCTTAACTGGAATATCCTGTCATCATTATTATCTCTACCTTATATTTCTAAGCAAAAAAGACTACTATAAGTTTTTATTAAGACTTAAATTCGGCATTGTCGCGAAAATACCTTGTGACGTCTTACCAAAACTTTAAGCTTTGTACATCAAAATGTTCTGGAATATTCTTGCTTATTCAGTGACCTTTACATTGTATTTATAGATTCAGTATTTATAGAAATAGTTTTCCAATACTTGCACATAACGAAGGATACAGATACCTTAAATGGCGATAATAATAAAGATCAAAAGATATTATTAACAGCTTATTTCTAGATTTGTATTTCCTTTGTATTTCTTGTGTCTAGAGAGATCTATTAATACGACAGATGATGGACTATTTTTATTTAATTTCTTTCTATTTTACCTTCGTATCAATGTTGTTGAAGCGTATAAAAAGACAACAAAGAAAGAAAAAGAAAGAGAAAACGGTTGGTGACTAAAAAGAACTCTAAAATTACAAGTTACATAAAAATGGAACCCACTTTCGGAACTTCTTTCTTTTATAGTTATTTAATTTTTAGCATTAAGAGATGCATCTCAAACTAATTGGATAATTATAAATAACTTGAAAATATCGAACTGCCTAAGGCGGGAATTGAACCCTCGACCTTCCGCTTGCCGGGCGACTGCTCTTTCAACTTCTATTAAATTAACCATTCTCTTCTTATTATCATACTAGCTTCTTCTTACTGGTTCGCCCGTATGTATTTATAATAGCAAAAGCGTGTATGTCTTTGTAAAAGTGATGATCAGGCCGAAGGGTGGAAGCGAGCTTCATTCGGACGGAACCCTCAAACACAGAGGAACTGACTATCTAACCTCCAACTGCCGGAACACACAATGTTTTTTTAATGGTGTTATAGCTACCCATCATCATCATCATCAACAGCCCTTTACAGTCCACTGCTGACTATGAGCCTTCTCCACTATAGTGGAGGGTTTTGCCATAATCCCCACGCTTGGCAGGCGGGTTAGAGATCGCAGTTTAAAAGATTGATGTTTTTCAGAGAGAGCTACTGCCCGTTCTCTGTTTGATATTACATCATAGCTACCCACTTAGAGAGTTTTGTTTGTATGTTATACATACATATAGAGTTTTAGATAGAAATGCCAGTAATCCATAACACTTACAAACCTGACAAAGTTTATTTCTAAAAATCCCATTACACGCCTTTAAAATGAGAAAAACCGATAAGATTGTTACATTGAATATACCGAGCCTTAATTGGTTAAATAATCGCAGCTCGATAAAGCCAGTGTTCCACTGCATAACTAACCTATTCTCTAGCGCTGCTTCTACTATATTAAATATTTTGACCATTCCCACCTCTCGTTCCCACCGCTGCAAAGTGCAACTCCTGTGTAGCCAGGATCTACAGCTTGACCGCCAAAAACCCAACCAGTGAGTCAAGTTTTTTCCGGGGGAAAGTTATTAAATAATATAGTATTATTTCGACCATCTATCCGTCTCATAATTAAAGAGATGCTGGAATGAGCGACGGCGATAGATAAAACTGAAAATACGGAAATCATTTAGCTGTTAATGTCGCAAATTCAATCGTTACCAAATTGGATTTTTTTTTGCAAAGATTTTGTAATGCTAAAAAATGGATTTTTTTTGTAAAGATTTTGTAATGCTGACAATATAGCTTAATATAGCTTAGCTTCCATATCGTTACCGGCATTACTAACACCTACTTTTATAGAAACCGGCTAATGCTTACATGCACACCATATGTCACGAATAGCATAGCAAAACAGACCTTACATTCGTAATTATAAAACACAAATCAGAAATGAAATACTACAACGAACATAGATTTATTATGGACATTGTTGAACCTGATATGTCTTCTAAGAGAAAGGTCACTGATTGACTCACTCATCACGAAATCTCAGTAACTAAATACAAGTGCAAGGAGTCGCAAATTTTGCATGGGGGTTCCATTTAGAACATAGCTAGGTAACTCACTAAGACGGGATTTTGCAAAATTCAACTCCTAAGGAGGTAGGGGGTAAACGGGATCCACGCGTACGAAGTCACGGGCAGCCGCTAGTTACTTATAAAAGTGTAAACAGTACAGTCAGCAGCAATACTTATTAGCCAAATATATTGTACCAAATTAGCACTTATAACAGCTACATAATGTCACAGTTTGTCTTGATGTAACGTCGTCTGTATGGTATAACGGGGACAGAAAAAGTTAATGGGAAAAAGGAATTTGTCTTCTTGATTTTTAATGAGATATCTATGTTTAATTCAGAGGCGGCGTAAGGCGTAGGCGACGTGGGCCACCGCCTACGGCCTCGCGGTACAAGGGGCCTCGCGCATCAAAAATTTTGAAAAAATGTATACAAGGTGGAGATGACAATATCACAATACGAACATTGACTATTAAATATAAATTCTTGATAGCTAAACAATGTAGTTAAAAATAAAAATATATTTTTTTCCAAACAAATTCAGCCATAATCAGACACAAAATTAAGCAACAACACGGTTTTAAGTGAC